AATCGCAAAGTTTAATTTTTTCATATTGAACTTTAAAGTATTGAAATTTTATCAATATGTGTTTTTTGTATGATTACTTGTATAATAATTTATTAAATTGATGATATGATAAGCTTGAAAATCTTTTATGAGCTAACGTATATGTACAATTTGCACTACATTGACAAAGAAAACTCATCAATTTAACGAACGAATAGAAATTTAAAGAGACAAGAGATGTATATTTGTACAATTTCAAAATTTTAAAGTGGAAAGTGAGAAAATTGAAATCTTGTGATCTATTTGAAAATCAACATAAACTAGGAAGTGTTTAAAATACAATAAGCCCTAAATTTTAAGTGCTTTTGGTAGACCTGTAAACAGAGTTGAGACCCGACTGGCCTGCCAGAGCTTAGCCTTATTTTTTATGTTATGGGCTGGTCCGGCCATTTAATTACTAGAGCCCAAAAATTTAGAATCGACTAGGGTTTAAGCCTTGACTTCTTAAGCTCAGCCCAACCCGACCCAATCTATAGATCTAGCTTTTGGAAATTTAAAAAAAAAAAGTTATTTACTTTTGGATGGAGAGAAGAATTCTAATTGCTTACTTTTTTTACTTCTCAGACACCCTTTTTAATTTTCGGCCGTATGAACAAATGAGTTGAAGAAAATCAAATAACATAAGTTAACAAAAGGTGTGTGGTGGTCAAAAAATGTGTGTGGATAGCACCACTCTTTCCTTATGCCCCTTATTAGAATTGACAGTTATTTCCAAACCGGAAATACAATAATACAAAAATGAAAAATCTACATTCAATTATTGTCTAATTTAAACCACATAACAAGTGATATAAAGACTCCAAATTTTTTTATATCGAACTTCATGTAAAGTCAGGACTCTATAGAAACTTTTACTATACGTTATAACTCAATAGTTTCAAACTGACTCGACCGGCTCCTCTTATTCCTCTAACATCTTATCCATACATTCATCTTCTAGTAAATATTCCACCTTCGTTCTCTTCTCATCGTTTCCTTCCGTCTATCCTCATTCCTATCCAGCTTTTAGTTCGACTCAACCTCATCATTAGTGGCGTCGACACCAGGATTGTTCTCGTCGTGTTTTTTGGTTGTCCTCGTCTTTTGCAATAGTGGCATTTTCTGAATTAATTCACAAGCTTCTGCATATGATAAAAAGAGCAAGACACAATTTTGTCATGTAGATCGATTTCTTTCATCATCCAATAGTATATTTTAATTTCCTCCAACACCATACTTATATAAAGTCGACAACCGTGAAAAGTATTACTATCTAAAATGGTAGAACTTGTTGTGTATTTATAGTTGGTTGTCACACTGATTGAAGTGAAATTACAGCTCTAGCTAGAGGAAACAAAAAGTGTGCTCATAAGGTAACACACTTCCAACGTGAAGAACAAGGAGGAGAGTTTAGTCTTAGTAAACCTTGTCAATGGGCATCCCTCGGATCCAGATAGTCTGTGCCTCCCCCTCCTTGAAGAGTACTGCAACTGGCCACCAAGGCGTGGAGTGACTTGGCCTACGAAGAGTTGGGGCTTTCACTTGAAATAAAGTTAGAACTTAAATAAATTGTTACGGTAGTGTACTCGTTTTTTGTACTTAATTTCGAATTCTCTTTAGGTTATTGAGTAGCTTGGATTGTAAAAATATATGAAAGTACTAAATTTGATTAAATTCTTTTCAAACACAAAGTTAAACAATTACATTAGTATGTTATTTAAACACTTGTTGTGAATATCGCATTTAAGAATGAGAAAAACATAACAAACTCAAAAAATTGAAAACAAAAATAACCAGTTTTTTTTTTTTTTTTTGGAAAATAATTATAAATATTTTTATATGAAATAATTAAATGCTTAGTCCACACAGAACTGATAATATTGATATAATTTTTTTTATGCATCACTTTATTAAGAAGGAGGTTTGATCTAAATCATACAATAACTCAGCCGTAATAATTAAAAATCAAAATTACTATTTTCATGAGTCGAATCAAAACCTCTCGAACATATATATAAAAATACGGAATAGGATCTTATATGGATCTTCTTTGTGAGGATCCTAGGTATCACTTCATCATGTTCATTCATATGTTAATGTTACCCTGCAATAAGAAATTATTTTGAATTTTTTTATTTAAAATTGAACACAAACAGTACTTGGCGAAAACTAATCATACGATGTACAATAAACAGACCGATTTCTGATGAAACGATCTGCAAGATCTTCACAAAGAGAATCTAAAAAGGATCCTCATCCATAAAAATACAACTAAACTATAATATTGCATAGCTTCAAGTTTAAAAATCATGGGAAAAGATCCTCTTCGGATCGCTCCCACCAAAGCCACCAAATCCATTAATCCGGACTCTTGAAATTTGATCAAATAGCTAAAATTATTATAACTTTTAAATGAGCCTCGCTCCTTGTTTATAGATGTTGAATTAAATTTTAAGAATCCAGATTAATAAATTTGATGGATTTGGTGGGAGAGATCCAAATAGGATATCTTCCCAAAAATCACGACTATCACTTGTATTTGTCAGGCTGAAGCCGGTGGAGGTTGACTTGAAAGCCAACATGTCGGTACGTCCTCCTCACTCTGGTTTGACTGAACTTTTTTTTTTTTTTTGCATATTTTAATTGCAATTATTATGTATATTAAATTTTGAAAGATCCTTCACGCCGGTGGAGGTTTTTGTCTGTTTGAAACATGGCAAGCCTCATGTTGACTTGAGAGCTCTCACCTCCCAATGATCCCAAGACGGCCAGCCTGCATCACCCTTTCATTTCTTAATTTGGCGGTGTGCTTGCTTATGTCTGCAGAGCCGGTCTACCATGAATTATTATAGAGTCATGATTGGATTTTATTATTCAAAATTAAGACATATGTAATAGTGGATTAAATATCAGGCGAGTCTTGGCATAGTCCTCTTGCTTATCTTTTTTTGTTTACTTTCATTATTACCGACGGATTTGGTGGAAGGGATCGGTGGAGGCACATACCATCCTTTGAACAGTAGGTGTCTCGCACGTGATCATTGCCAAAGAAATAATCTCACTTAATCTTTTTTCATTTTGATGAGAAAAAAATATATCATTACGAGATTGATCACCTAGAGATTTGTAACTTGAGTGGACAAGAACAATTACCGATAAGTATGGAGACAAGGTCAGGTTAATGAATGACTTGAATGATGAATCAATATGTTTTTAATTTCTCTTCATCTCAACTAATAATAATCATAAACTTTTGATTAATTAGATGTCATTCCGACTATACTAGAGACTTATGCATCAATTGATTAAGAACAACTATTGAAGGACATGTTTGATGAAAATGCCTCATCAACATTTCAAAATACAAAACAAAGCTAAAGTTATGTCTTATGAGGGGTTTTTTTCTTTCTTTTTTAATAAATAATTTCAATGGACCCCAATGTAAAAGAGTCAATGACTATGCTATTGTTGATGCACTAAGGGCTGGTTTGTTATTGCTGTGCTTTGAAAAAAAGCTGCTGTGAGAATAAGCGGCTGTGCTATGAGAATAAGCGGCTGTGAAATAAATCAGCAGAGTGTTTGGTAAACTTTTTTGTAAAAGTGCTTTTGAAAAAAAAATAGTCTAATAGTGGGTCTTTTCATTAAAGAAGCACTGTAGCTCCATGTGCTTTGAAAAAAAAGCCAGTTTTTCAAAGCTGCAAATAACAGCTTTAGCTTTTTCCTTTGATTTCAGCTTATTCTCACAGCAGCTTCCAAAATAAGCCCTTTTTTTCAGTTTACCAAACACCTAAAACCCTCACAGCTTTTTTTCATGGGTGCTTTTTTTTTAAGCACCTCACTCCCAAACTAGGTCTAAGGTTTGTGGCCGATTTCCCTTCGACACTTAACCTAATACTTGACATTATTAACTACATTGAAATATTTAAGAATGTATGGTAGAGAAATTGAACAAGAAGGAGTAACAGAGAGAAATATGAACTAGAGAGTTTAGAGAAAGAAATATGAGACATGTATTCATTACAAAATGATTACACAACTATGTTTTTATAACAAAAATCCTAACAACTCTAACCAAATACTAACAAACTTACTAACTAACGGTTGATATGTACAATCATTTTAACTAATATCATCTAAGGTGTGGAACCCTAATAGACATGTCTCCTCCACATTCATGTACCTACGCTCCTTGATCTTTGTTGAAAGTGTAAACTACGCAAGTTTCAATAAATTATATACTTGATTAAATAAGTAAATGCATGAACTAATTCTTAATTTCTGACATGAGTTCCCCCAAGTTTACGTTCACAAGTGACAGTACTCCCTTTATTTATTTTTAATTAAACATTCACATCCATTGGCATCTGATCCAAAACCAAAGGCCCGGATCCTTGGATTCCACAGTGATCTAGGATTTACTTTACAATTAAATATTAAATCATAGAGGCACGCTCGATCGCATGCAATGAAATTACGTAACATTTTCCCTTTTTAAATCATATGATCTTATTAAACAGAAAAAAAATAGTTTAGCTGGTTTTTTAATTAACTCGCACAAATAAGATGATGATGATAGGCCAGCTCAGTGCCTGCAATTTTTCTCTGCATTATTTTTTCAACACTTGGTGCGATGGCAAGTGCCTTCGCCCATGAGCGGTAGGTCTCGGGTTCGAGACTTGGGAGCAGCCTCTCCATAAATGGGGGTAAGGCTAGCCGACATTCACCTCTCCCAGACCCTGCGTAAAGCGGGAGCCTTGTGCACTGGGTACGAAAATTATTTTTTCAACAAACATTGGTAGTGCACATGCTTGCTTCATCAGCAAACCAACTCTTCAATGCTCTCTATAAATTAAAACGTCACTTAATAATAACCCATCTGAGCTCACATAAGCATAACCACCTCTCTCTCTCTCTCTCTCTCTCTCTCTCTCTCTCTCTCTCAAATCAAAGTGAGTGATTGGCTTCTATTTTTCTTGGAGAAAATGGCTATGACGATCAGAAAGTCGTACGGCGCCTACTCAAAGATGGACAAGGAAGATCCCGAAGAGGCAAATCATCGACGGGCGCAGTTCTTGATCTACAAAGTGATGCAGCAAGTAGAAATGCGGCGGAGGCCTTCGAATTTGAGGATTCGGGTACGTAAACTGAAGCTGAAGATTGGGAGGAGATTAAAGAAGTTGAGGAAGAGCATGCTTCTAAGCATATCTGCTGCCAGGGTTTGCGTTTATAAGCAAGTTTTTAATCAATTAAAAACTTGCAAGACCTTGTTTGGCCGCGGAGATCAGGGAAATATAAACGCCACTCTTCCAGCTTTGTTCACCTGATTGAAATACTTTTAGTTATGTCTCTTAGTTTTCTTCTCATTGATCTTTTTCATATATAATTACCAGCTTGTAATTTCGTTTGGTAAAGTTTGCTTGTTTTCTTATATAGAACAACTTGAGAATGTCATATATATGATACGTGTCCCAGTCTGGTTTTGGTTTAAAGCGATCTCATGGATTTATTTCATTCAATCATTTGTGTTCATACGATCACCAAAACATACATTAAACGGGCATGTAAAAGTTAAAAGAGCGGTATGGTTAAAATTTTATCAATACAAAAAGAGTCAGGACGACAAACTCATCAGCAATACAATTCGTATATCAGAAGGTCCTTAATTTATCTTCCGTTGACGCTTCAAAATGACATGCAAAGCACAAAGTAAGGCATCTCCAATGGGAGATGGAAAATGCTTTAAAAATGGGCATTTTACATTTTTTTTTGCTAGAAAATTCTCCAGTGACTGAATGTAATTATCTATCTTCGCCAAAAGATGTTAAGATAACCCTAAATTTACATTCTTTTTACATCTTTTAGTGATGTGTGCCACTAAACAAAGATAAAAAAAAATTAAATGAGATTTCAAATTTACATCTCATCCATTAAAGTAGAACTTTCATTTACATTTACCAAAAATATAAAATAAAATGTAAATATAGTTGTTGCATCTCAAAATTGCATGTTTTCATTGAAGATGCCCTTAAGTAGTGAAGCATCAAACCCATCCCTTAAGTAGTGAAGCATCAAACCCATCGATCAAGAAATATATTCTTAGCTTGTGCAAAGAAGTCAACTTCCCATCAAGACACTCCTCGCATTAGTACTACTGTCCTAATTAACTGTCACTTTTTGTACCGTTATTTAATATAATTTTGGAGAAGTGGCCAGAGGGAAAATATAGTTGGTCCACGTAGAGCAACCCATAAATCCAATTAGTCTAATTAATTAGTGTCTGAAAAAATGTCCACAAATAAGTAAACTATGGGTTTCCAGAAATTAATGTTTATATTTACAAGTGGTGGATTGTTCGTGCAGGCTAGGATCCTTCGCTTCAAAGCATTGCGTTTCGATTAAAAACAAGGGGTGTGCACACCTTTTACTTTTTACACATCTTTTTAATTTTCAGTCGTCGGATCGGATGAATTAAAGAAGATCAAGGGACTGAAATCAACAAGAGGTGTGTGAGAAGTAAAAACGGGTGTGTAGATAGCACACCTCTAAAAACAATCATTCATTTTCTTAGCAAAAATTAATGTATAATATCGTTTACAGTCGGAAGAAGAAAAATGTATATATATTTAAGGTTATAATTATTAACTACACTTGGAACTCTAGCCCCATGTTATGATTAACATGACATATATATATTTATATATTTGCTAGGTATACATTTGCATGAAACTTAAACTTGTGTTGTATGACTATGAGGTGCTCCTGACCCCCGGCCTACATGCATGGGTGGAGTTGCTCTAATAGTTATGATTAGTTGTTTGACGGGACTGTTATATTATATTTCTTTTTAGTTATTAGAATAGTCAGCAGGATTGTGCTTGGCACGCTTTATCTCACAAATAGCTTTGTATATATTATGCTTTGCTTCCCCAGCAACTCACTCCCTCCATTATTATTTGATAAAAAATCACTCGTTTCATTAATCATGCATCATGCATGGCACACCTTTTTCTCATTGATTGATGGAACTGAATGTTTCTTTTTAAGATCATCCTGTAATCCCATTTTTAACTTCTGAATTGTAATGCCCTTTTTCACTTTTCAACACATAACTTTAGCCTAACATGAAAACCTAAGGCATTCCACACGAAAAAGGATCCGGCGAGGATCATTTTCTTAGAGATCCTAGGAATCCCGTAATTTCACATGTTCATTGTAAATCGTACGATCAGAAATTATTTTAAAATTTAAAATTTAAAATTAAATATGAATAGTACCTAATAAAAACTGATCGCACATTCACGATATATGATGAACAGATAAGATCACAGGATTCCTGGGATCCCTAAAAAAAGTTCCATTCCACACTTCGAAGAATATGACTAATCTTTATTGGGATTCGAAAAGTTTATAGGCATTTTAGCTCACATTTGGTGCAGTTGAATACACATTCTCTCAAAGTTTTCAATAAAAAAATCATCTATGTTTTTGTTAACTTTGTGTCTCAAACTCATAATCAGAGAACATACTTGACTTGGAATTCTACCGCATTAATTTCTACTGGACTACTTACCATGGTTATATATATATATATATGTATGAATAAATTGAAAACGTTGATCGACTTAAATCCAATTTGTAAAATGCTTTTTGACTTGTAATGGTAAAAAACCTTTAAACTTTTACTCTCAAAAAAAATTTACTTACAATATATATACGCACACATATAACCAGCTTGCTTGACCTAAACTCACAATTATAAATAGAAAGATGATTGATTATAATAGGAGAGAAAAACTTCTTTGTGGCTTAACGTGTCATTAGACAATACTTAAGATAGAAAATTAATGTTAGATTATTTGTAATCTACCCTTATCTTTGATTGGTGATTATGATTCAATGGGATGAAAAACATGGAAGCAAAAACCTTATCCGATCCTCGCTGAATCTCTCTCTAACTCTCTCCTTTAAAAAATGTGATAAGAGTAATATTTTTTATTTTATTAATGGGTATAATTTAGATTACATTGGCAATTATATATAGAGTTCGCCAGCCTGCAATGCATGCATGGCGTGCCGAGCCAGCAACTGTGGCCTATTTAAAACTCGTGGCTTTATGATCTCAGCCCATTGATGCCATCAACCTTTTAGCAGAGGCTGCTTCTTGTCATCCCATTTCTCCACGCGATTTTTAGCCTTGTCCACCTGAGTTATTCAGTCCACAAAAAATACCAAAGTTTTTAGTAACGAAACAAAAATGTTGAATTAATAATATTTAATCATATATAAAGCTGCCAGTAAAAACAAAGAAAGATAACTTGAAAGGATATACTAAGTGAGCATATTGATTACTGAAATTACCTCTTTATTCCAGTCTGTACGAAATGTTATCCACAGTAAAATTAAGGTTTGGATCAGTGTTCCTCCAATCATCCCCACCCATATTCCCTGTATAATATACTTATGTACATGTATCAATTTCTTATAATTTACTAATCATTTAGCTACATTTAGCTTCTACATTGTGTAAAATTTTATATTTGCCTCATTTTTTAAAAAGAAATTAGGGAGATAATTGAGTTGGTAAATGTACCTCAGCGCCAAGGTCGAATCTAAACCCAAGAACACAGCCGAATGGAATTCCAACCACGTAATAGCATCCCACATTCACATATGCCACAAATGCTTGCCACCCACATCCAACAGCCACCCCTACAATGATCCCCTTATATCTATATTCATAATTAAGTTAAATTCTCATGAACAATGATCTAAACACACGTTTAATGATTCACTTAGACACAAGAACTAGTGTTCAAGAGTTAGTGTTTAAATTTGTCTTCTAAATAATCGGGTTTTAATATCTTACACGAACATAAGGTGTCACATGCTAATAATTTTTTGTGCACTGCTCCTGTACTTTGATCCAACACCCACACACTCCAATCCTCAATCTCTTACATTCGATTCCTGTATAAACGGTCTGACACAAAAATCTCCGTATACACCACATCCAATGTCATATCGAAAAATACATAATTCAAACCTTAAGCTTTTATCCCTGGTGAATTAACTAATGGTTAAACCAAACCAGATATATATGATAGCACGTACCGGATAGGACTGGTTGAATCCCATTGAGGATGAGAGTGACGGCCAAATATGGAGTGAGGTGCGAGACTGCCTTGGACACAGTTTCACCGCTAGTGAAGGCATAACTAATTACGTCACGGAGGGAGAGCACAATCACAGCTTCCACAACAGCATAAGTTAAGGATACCAAAGTTACCACTAGAACCGAGAATGCTGCTGACTTTGGATTCCCAGCACCTAGCTCATTGCTTACCCTCACACTGCATGCATCATTAATTCCCATCAATTAATTTGTAATTACATATCTGCTTATTCATCAATTAATTTTTTAATTAATTATGACTTAACATATTTCAAGGGCTTATCCGGTTGAGTTACTCCTATATTGCTAGAATTATCAGAGAGACGAGCCGAAGGTCCACTTCCAACAATATCGATATTGTCTTCAATTTGGTAATTACCACTTGCACAATTCGTCAGGTGTAATGTTTTATCACAAAATGCCTCAATGTTAGTTAGAGTGGGGTTATGATTTTTAAACTTTTCTTTTCTCAAAGATATGGCTGATGTGGGATGTTTCAACACACCCTCTTATGTGATACTTAATTAGTGGATAACATGTGAGAGATCCACATATCAGCAACCACGTGAAGACAAGAGGACTCACCCTACACGTGAGGCCAAGGAACCATCATCGTGTGGGGACAAAAGCATCTACCCATCACGTGACAGTACGAGCCCACTTCCTTGCTCTGATACCATGTTAACTGGATCGTCGGCCAAGATTGACTGGGTCCGGGTCCTTGCCGAGTCTGCTGTCAGCATCATGATTTCCTTTATGTTTAGCGGTTTGGGGTACATGCATGCCTGCTTGCTGCCCAATTGAATTGTGGGCAGTAGACACAGCAGGCACAGACTCTTGCATACTGGAGGTAAGTGATGCAAGCCCAGTTCCTGCTTCAGCATTTTTTTTCTTGCACATCGTCTGTAATTCTCCCTGGGTTTCGCTGTGCAGCCATCTGAAACACAGTGACTTAGGCCTGGTTTGGTATTGAGGTGATTCTAAAAAAAGCTGGTATCAAGCTTTTTTGTGTTTGGTAAACATTCAATTTCAGCTTTTTTCACAGTTTTGAGTGAAAAAAGCCAAAAATAAGAAGCTGCAAAACCCAACTAAGCAGCTTTTTTTTCAAAGCACAGCAAATACCAAACCAGCCCTTAGTGGTTGTATTATAGG